TTTAGTGAAGATGGCTCACTTTACTGCTCCTCTTTTATTTCTAATAGATGCTTAACACCGTTTTTTTTTTCTGTCCACCCTCAGCAAGCATGTGGTTTCGAGTACACCTCCAAACTACAGCGCATGTTCCAGGATATCGGTGTCAGCAAAGACTTGAATGAGCAATTCAAAAAGCACCTTTCCAACTCTGAGCCTTTGGACTGTAAGTGCTCCACACTCCTCCTGTTTGTTCGTGTTTTTATAATGTGGCATGCATGCGGTCATTACCGATGAATAAAATCCAGCTCCATCTGTCTCGCAGTGGATTTCAGTATCCAGGTTCTGAGCTCTGGCTCGTGGCCATTCCAACAGTCTTGCACGTTCGCTTTACCATCTGAGGTGAGATGCTCAGATGCTTAACCCTGTAATTCTCCAAGCCCTTCACACCCTTCCACAAGCTGAGAATAATGTGTGATTACACTTCCATTTGATGATAGTTTTTCAACACCTTGGTTTTTCACAGTTGGAGCGGAGTTACCAAAGATTTACAGCTTTTTATGGAAGTAGACACAGCGGGCGGAAGTTGACATGGCTTTACCACCTATCCAAAGGGGAGCTGGTCACCAACTGCTTCAAGAACAGATACACTCTGCAGGTTTGTCTTCTTCATGGCTGCATCATGTCAGTGGTAATTGATAGCATGTAAGGCTCTAGGACATGTTTGTTTGTTTGTGTCGTGTCCCCGCAGGCCTCCACCTTCCAGATGGCCATCCTGCTCCAGTTCAACACAGAGAACAGCTACACCGTCCAGCAACTGGCCGACAGCACACAGATCAAAATAGTGAGTGCAGTGCCATTGCTTTATATCCCCATCTCATTTACATAAATCAATCAGTGAACTTTGATCTCCATCTCATATAAAATTCATACTCTGAACAAAAAGAAACAGTAACAGAAACAGCAATTACATCTATGTGAAGTCCCACTAGTTAAAGTCCCCATGAAATCAAAATTAAAGTTTTTTTGGGTGTTAGTATCAATATGTTAGTCTTAAAGGGGTCATATGATGTTGCTAAAAATAACATTATTTTGTGTATTTGGTGTAATGTGTTTATGCAGTTTAAGGTTCAAAAAACACATTATTTTCCACATACTGTACATTATTGTTTCTCCTCTATGCCCCGCCTTTCTGAAACGTGTCTTGTTTCATGTCTGCATTTGTGATCGGAGAAATGACAAACAACAAGCCCTACTCTACACTGCCCAAAGAACTCGCTTTAAATATAAAAAAATATAAAAACTCTTTAAATATAAAAAACGTACTTACAGTCTGAGAGTCAGAACAGCCGTAGTCTACAGCACTTCATGAGGATGGGGGTAAGTGGAATTGGACGGTAGTCATTGAAGCAGGATGGAGACGACTTCTTCGGGACTGGAATGATGGTGGTAGCTTTGAAGCATGTGGGGACAACAGCCTGACTTAGCGAGATGTTGAAAATGTCTGTGAAGACATCGGTGAGTTCCACTGCACAGTCTCTCAGTACACGCCCAGGAATGTTGTCAGGACCCGGAGCTTTGCGTGCGTTGATCCTGCTGAGGGATCTCCTCACGCTGTCCGGGGACAGCGTCATCACCTGGTCGCCGGGAGGAGGTGGAGTCTTCTGTGCAGTGGTGCTGTTTTGTGCCTCAAAGCGAGCGAAGACGACGTTCAGCTCGTTCAGCAGGGAGATGGTGCTGTCACAGGTGCGTGGTGGGGGCTTGTAGTTCGTAATGGTCTGTATCCCCTGCCACAGGCTCCGAGTGTCTCTGCTGTCGCTGAAATGATGGGCTATCCTCCTGGAGTACTGTCTCTTAGCCTCTCTGATGCCGCGGGAAAGGTTGGCCCTATCTGTCTTCAAGCCTACCTCATCTCCAGCTCTGAAGGCAGCATTCCGCGTCTTCAGGAGTCCGTAGACCTCCCCTGTTAGCCACGGCTTCTGGTTGGCCCGGACAGTGATGGTCTTTGAGACTGTTACATCATCAATACACTTGGTGATGTAGGCAGTGACAGTCTCTGAGTACTCCTGGAGGGCTGTGGTGTTATTGTATGTGGCAGCCTGCTTAAACATATTCCAGTCAGTGGTGTTAAAACAGTCTTGAAGAGCCTCTGACGACCCTTCCGGCCACACTTGTATTTGTTTGAGAACTGGTTTGGTGACTTTAACGAGTGGTCTGTATGCAGGCATTAGCATGACAGTGATGTGGTCTGAGGCACCGAGGTGGGGGAGGGGAAGGACCTTGTAGGCTCCTCTCTGTGTGGTGTAAACAAAGTCCAGAGTATTGTTTCACCGTGTTGGAAAGTCTATGTGTTGGTGTATTTTTGGGAACACACTCTTTAAGTCTGCGGGCAAAGTTACTGGGTTAATCTTTTTCACGTTTCCTTGGTTGGTAGATGCACCAGGGACCTGATTATAGCACTTAAAACCTGGAAAAGTCAGATTTTCATGATACGTCACCTTTAAGGTTACCTATAAGGCAGTGTGCTCCAAAACAGTGACAAAATTCGCATTTAGAAGATATAAGCATTCAAAGCTTGCAGTTCGTCACTTCCGCCAAAACGGCTCAACGATTTTTTTTTTTGACGTCACATCGTACTTCAGCTACTCATCAAACTTTCTGTCCAATCAAACGCTCTCTAGAATCCGAAGCGCCCACCCCCTACACTATAAAATAGATGGTGAAGCGCGGCTGAAATCGGTCACTTGTCCACAGAATTACAATTGTCTGTACAGTGAATGGCACGTAGTGCACTATATAGGGGACAGGGAACGATTCAAACTGTGTAAATATGCTCTCAATTGAGGAAAAAAAGAAGTCTGGTTTCACGCTGTCACACTACCACCGCACCGCACACACACTCTGCTCCGGTCCAGAGACACGATAGCACGGAGCGGATCATATGCGTGAGTCGGCGCAGACCACAAAATGTATCGGAGCTATTTTAATTCTACACAGAATGCTATATTTTATAGCAATATGGATGAGATTGTGGCTGGCATACCTTGTCAAATGCGCTTTACGGAGCTCAACGGCTCTAGCCCAAGCTGTGATATAAACGAACGCTATTGGCTATTTTAAAAAGGGGCGGGCCTGCTTCATATTTCTAAGCATTTCAGGGCTTGAAGTATTTATATGAGAAGTATTCATGATTTAACCCTTTATGCTCTGCTGGAAATCCTTTAGCTAATTTGATGTTCCCGATCAAAAATGACCAGTTTTAAAAATTGCTTGTCAATCTCTCATTATGCTATGACCATATCCATATTACCATATCTTACTTTCAGTCTTTTTGTCAACTTGTTTTCTTACAAAAAGTAAGCACTTGTACCATGGATGAACAAAGTCCGTTTTAATCCAAAGCGATAACATTAATATTAACTAGTATTTCCAGAAAAGAGAAAATCCTCAGTGTGAGGTTTAACATCAAATTAAATATTGATTACTTTTGGTCGACTTGAATTATCCAAAACAAGTATCAGTCTGGATATTACTTAAGTCATTTTAGCAATGTTTTCAAGTTTTGTGTGTGCTTTTTTTATAAATTAAGTTTTTAAATTGTAATTTTTTTCCAGGATATTTTGGTTCAGGTCCTGCAAATCCTGTTGAAATCAAAGTTGCTGGTAAGTGTTGAGAACTTGTTGCATATAGGACCCTATAAATGTCTTTCAACATCAGTGCTATTTATATTATATTTGCTCTTTGTGTTAGATTCTCACATTTGGAAGTAATTTGATTACATCTTGATTCATAATCATGAGCGTGAATCACCAAATTAGACTTGATTACATTTCAATATTTGCTCATGTGTGCTTAGTTTCCATGCGATTCCCTTAATTGTTCACATTTCTGCTTAAACATGTTTTTGTGAATAATTTTAGTAATAATGCAATTTAAAGATGTAGACGTACCTTGTTTTTTTGTTTCCTTTTTGTAGGTCTTGGAGGATGAGAATGCAAATATTGATGAAATGGATTTCAAGCCTGATACATTAATCAAACTTTTCCTGGGCTACAAGAAGTAAATGCATTTTCTTACTGCTTCATGGTTGATCTCCACAGTATACACTAACAATTGACTATCAACACAGATAACATTTTAAAACAGTGCATAGTAATATTGTCGAATATTATGTTAGGTTCGCATTTTTGTCATCTAGACTGTTCTGTCTGCAGTAAGAAGTTACGGGTGAATATCAATGTGCCAATGAAGACAGAGCAGAAACAAGAGCAGGAGACGACACACAAGAACATTGAGGAAGACCGGAAGCTCCTCATACAGGTATTAAAACAAAATTTTAGCAGTCCCTTGGAAGTTGAAATAAAATATGCTTTTGAATCGACCTGTTTTGTTGTGTGCAGGCAGCTATCGTGAGAATCATGAAGATGAGGAAAGTTTTAAAGCACCAGCAGCTTTTGGCAGAAGTGCTGAACCAACTTTCTTCACGATTCAAACCTCGTGTTCCTGTCATCAAGGTAACAGAACTGCAGCGCTGTGCAATTCTGACTACTTGTGAAATAGTTAAATTATTTTTTTTTTTCTCTCTTTCTTCAGAAATGCATTGACATTTTGATAGAGAAGGAATACCTGGAACGTGTGGATGGGGAAAAAGACACTTACAGTTACTTGGCTTAACAATGTCCTCTGAAGTTTGACGTCCTTAGATATTTGCCTAAAGTTTTGAGGAATATCAACACAGAGGATTCTCTCATAAAGATCTCAAGTCATTGCCGCCGAGTAGGACAATGTGACACTGGACTTTTCCCTTTAAACCCAGACTGCTAAAGCGGCCAGTCTTTGTCTTTAAGCCCTTAAGCTGCTCAGGATTGCCATTTACTTTTTAATGTGTAAATACTGGACATTGAACTATTCTCATAGTGGGACCCAGAGTCAGGGTTGCATGCTATTGCCTATCATTATGAAAATACAAAACGCTGATTAATTTAATTGTAATTGAGTTTTGGAAAACTGAGTTTTTTTTTTTCTTTAAAAGGCTGTTGGTTGCAGACAGAAATACCTATAACCAAGAGGATATGTTTCAGCAGCACGCTGAGCATAATCATGTCTGACCAGACATTATTACCAGCCACGAGAGCACCATTTGTATAGTGCAGTTAATTTTATAAATGTCATGAATAAACAATTTTGCTTTTTCAGTGCTAGGTTTTCTCATTTATATACTTGCTCTGAATTTCTAGCTTAAACAGTACAGCAAACAATTATTTTCAATATTTATTTTATCACGTTTAACAAGTCCCTGTAAACAATTGAACAGCACCTTGTAATTGGAGGCATGGAGATGGAGTGGTCAAAAACCCTCAGGAAAGAGAGTAGAACCGAGGTTCAGAGGAAAAATATGAATTAAGAGGAGCAAAATAAAACAGATCAAGCGCCTAAGTAGTAACTCCCTAATATTCACTAGACAAATCACAGCAAATGATAGCCATCAATAAATTATAAAACTTGTTTACACGCATAAAATAAATAGGGGACTTCTGGAGTCAAGCCTGGTATTATTGCTTTGATTTTACAGTATCCCACGTTCAGAAAAGTGATTGTTTTTTTTCACGTAACCAGGGACGAGAACAGCACCTTAATCCAATCTCTTTACATTTAGTGACGTCTAAAGTTCATAGCTGCAACTGTCTGGATAAACATTACAAAACAATGTACAGTGAGGAATGAAGAGTTACCTGATCCCACTCCATTTAAAAACTTTTGTTCATGCATACAATTCGAGTACACCATTTAATATTTTAGGGAATCTAATTCAAGAAACTATTCAGTGTTCTTTAAACATGTCAAGGCACCGCAATAATATGATACTGAGTCTACCCTCCTTACATAAATCACCAAGTTGTTTTGTTTTTACAACAACGGTGCATTGGCACCGGAAAATGCATTTAACACCTCTGCACCATGGTTCTGGAGAGATTAACATGCAAAGCAGTGACAGTGGCTTTGGTTTCCAAAAAGAACAAAACTTAAAACGGTGGGGACTGCATGATATGTTTTTTGCATTACAAACTTACAGCCGGTTTAAATGTGAAATTTGGTCCAAAGGTATAGAGGAAACTGTCAAAATAATTTAAACCAAAAAAAAAAAAAACACCTACAATCCAGATACAAAACAATGGCCCATTATAAAATGGCTCTGTACTAAAACCTCAACTGTAAACATGACAGAATGTTCAAGTTATTATCAGAAAGTGTATCCCAGAGTAAGCCTGATGGTAGAGTTTAAAAAAAAAAAAAAAAAGTTTTCAAAATATCAGTTAAAAACTTTTCAAATAGATGCCCGTGTCCTATAAAACTGTATCTAATCTGGAAATGCATGTGGAGAGAGAATTCCTGAAGCGTGTAAGGCATTTGTTGAAGGAGGTAGATGGCTTTATGGAATTTCCGTTTCACGTTCAATACCTACGTATTTCAGAGCGTCGGCTTGACTGTATCTAAAAGAGATGTGTAAACATCAGGTTAGATGATTCAAAAGCCCCTCTCAAAGAAAGAAAAAACCTCTACACTTTTTTTTTTTTTTTTTTACCTGTAGTCAAAGAACAGTTCCTCTCCAGTCTGTATGGCTCTCTTAGCAAATATGCCAATCCTGTGATCTCCATTAACCATCATCACTGTGAGGACAGACAGGAAGAGACCATGACGTCACATTTTACACACGAGATCCTTTTCGTACAAGATTCTGAGTGACTTACCCTTTGCATAGCAGTTGGGGTTCACAGAGTGGTTGGCAAACCTGATCTTGTTTCCTTTCCTAGTTGCATCAACAACAAAATCTGTGGGTGAAAGGTGGGAGGTTGTCAGCTAGTGAGGGGGCATGTGAACAGCGAACGTTTGCAAGAAAAAGGTTAGTTACCGTTGTTAAGATTGAACAGGAAGCTGCACATGTGGGGGGGGGGGGGGGGGGGGGGGGGGTTTACATCTCACCTCCCCACAGTACTCGGAGATGAACTCGTTTTTCTGAACAGGCTCTTTGATGAAAATTCCCCATCCGGCCACATCAGACGGAGCCAGTAGCAAGTGCTTAAAAAAAAGAAAGAAAAAAAGGTGGCTTAAATAAGCAAGAATATTAATGTTTTGTTTTGCATTTATCTTCATACTGATGTGTGTCAGATTAAAATGTACCTTCTTTGCTCCTCTCTGAATACTACAGTTCTTGCAGGAGACGTTTTTACTGTCCCAGTGTTCAGCCGCCCCACAGGTGAGGCACAGGTCAGGGTCACACTCTCGTACGGCCAGGTAACAGGGACACTGCTTGGTGTTACACTGAGCCTTACAGCGGCAGCCTGGAAACCGGTTCTGACCTGTACAGATAGAAAAATCCAGTTCAAAACAACTCCTGCATCCAGACCTGACCATTTCAAATCAATCACAGCTGTTATAAAAGAAAACACTTCATATGAATGCAATAACTTCACCTTGGTTATAAAAAATACATAACTACATTCAGTGCTATCATTAAACGCAAGAGTTCTGCGGAAAAACTCTTCTACAAAAATAACTGAAATAAAATACAGTATAGGTCAAAATGAAATGCTTTTTATTGCCATCACGTTTAGAAAACAAGAAGTGATTACTCCATCTTCCTCTTTTCAAGAATCTTTAACTGTTTTGGTGTAAACTGGTTGTCACATTGATTTTACATGCCTGAGCTGCCTGATAGGTGTTGGTCTATGTGTGTGTCTCTATATACACTAGGGATGTCAACGATTTATCGGCGATCAATTAATTGTTAACAAGCGATGTAATCGATTAAAGCTATCGATGGTCGATTAAGCAATTTCATTATGGGGTTTGTGCTGCTCATGCGCAAAACACATGCAAGTGGCTGTAAGTGACGGTTACGGGGCTGGATCTTTTGCGAAAGTAATTCACTCATGTACAAATTGATCTGAACTTTAAAAGTACATTAAAATGGAAACAATGCAAAGTCCTTCAACATGGAAAGCAACAGAAATTTAGTCTTGCAAAGTCTTGTTTTCCTAGATAATTGTTTCATATCGAGCTCTGCGCTTTGACAGGGCTGTGGGACACGAGCGGGACAGAGCCATTGCTACAAATATACCCCAGCGACTTAAGACTGGTTTTGTGGTCCAGGGTCACATATAATTCGTTCCTGCGACTTGTTAATTTGAGGCCATGGTCTATGTTTCCTTAATTGCTTTCCTAGATAACCCACGATTTGGCTAAAATGAGAGAATGAATTAATGAGTAGAGCTGCCCCCTAATAGTCGACTAATCGTTAGTCGACCAAAACAGGCTTGGTCAACCAAAATTTTATTAGGTCGCAGAAAGATTTTTTTTTTTAAATATCCACAGGTGAAGTCACGCAGTCCGTGACTAACAGATCATTAACAGCTAATCTATGGTAATACAGTACATCAGGCTGGACATCCAAACACTCGCCTATCATTCATCGACCTCAAATATGGCTTATCATCTGAAATATGCAAGTATTAGCAACTTTACATGGCCACTCAATCTAATGTTAACCTAAAGAAATGCACGCTGTTCGAGTGTCTGTGTGGAGTGTAGAAGCTGAACACTCACTGCAGGACAAATACTCCCTCATTTTTGGTCATAGAGCACGAAACTCCGTGTATATCTTTGCCTTACAGACATTTAAAATATATCTATAGAGTGAAATGTCTACTTTCAAATGAACCAATTCAAATTTAAAACATTCTCATATTATGTAATCCGAATGAAACATGCATACAGGCGCATCCACTACTGCGGAGATGACGAGTCAGTGTCGCCGGCTTCATCTCTTAAACCCAAAACCATCAAAGCACGAGTTTATCAAATTATTCAAATGTTAATGCAGCCTCCTTACTGTTTTTCCCTGACACATTCATAATCATTACTTCTGCTCGTGCGTTGTGGCAAGCTTTATGCATGTACTCAGAGGCGGACAAAGTACTCAACTCCATTACTTGAGTGAAAGTACAGATACTGCTGGTAAAATATTACTCCATTACAAGTAAAAGTTGTAAAGACAGATTTTTACTTAAGTAAAAGTACAGAAGTACTTGAGTACCAAAAGTAAATTTCTTTTTTTTATGTCAATGCACTGTTTTATTATTGTTGTATGTAATACTTGCAATACTTCTGAAGCAACTTACAATACATTACACCTACTGAATACACTGACTAGCTTGTAGTATCTTTGGAATAAAGAGCTTTTAGAATGTTAAAAACCTATGGGGAAAAAAATTAACACCCCCACAAAAGCAGGATGGTAGTGATCTCACAGCTCTGGACACATCTATGTGTAGCCATTCTTCCACATTCGAACAGAGTGTACAGTGAAATTGCTGTAAATACAGACTGATAAGAAATCAAGTAACCCTACAAGAGTGATTACTGATAAACTGTCTGAAAAAAAGACAGTTTTTAGAGAATAAATAAATCACCCACTGACTTTCAAAGCTGCTAACGACTTTCTACTTCGAGGATCTTGATAGAAACGTAGTGGAGTGAAAAGTACAATATTTGTCTTTCAAATGCAGTGAAGTTAAAGTCATAAGTTCCCAGAAAAAATAATACTCAAGTAAAGTACAGATACTCAAAAAGTGTACTTAAGTACAATACTCAAGTAAATGTACTTAGTTACTGTCTGCCTCTGCGTGTACTTGAGCTCTTGTTAGGCTATGTAGGCAATTAAAGGCTCATTATAATGATTTAAATGGTTTATTAATAAACGTGCGATTAGTTGACTAATGCTTTAAATGAACGACAACTGGTCGACCAGAAAAATCCTTAGCCGAGGGCAGCCCTATTAATGAGTAGGAATGAATTCTTAATTCATAGCCACAAAATCTTTCATTTCGCCCCCAATGTTTACCACAGTGAGAGATGTGAAAACAGGGATTAAAAATGGATGACAAGAAAATAAACCTGTGAAATTAGCAGGTGAGACAGTGAGGATTTGGGAAAAGAAACAATATTAAATTCCTGGAAGTTCATGACCAACACGCAAAACAGAACAAGGCCGCGTATAGGCTCAAACTGAATGAATCCAAAAGCATGGTCATTGGTCACGATGTAACATTTGCCTGCTTACCAATTATTTCTCTTATAAACTAAGCTTTGTATCTCACTTGTGTCATAATACTAACATTTTTCATGTGAGCTAGTGTGTTTTGCCATAGCACCTCCGGTGGAAGCGGTTCACTGACTGCACGGCACAACCCCACACGCCATATTCAGGTTTGGGATCATTTTATTTTAAATGTCAATTGCAAACATTGTGATTGTGTTTTAAAGTACAACAACGAGCACCAAGAAACCATTTTAAAAGGCACATTCGGTCTCTGTGACAGGATATGAAAAAGTAAAACGATCCCAAACGTAACTACGCCGCACTCTCTTAATTTTATCAAATGATCATAATCACATCCATTCATTTTACAATCCTGCTACTAGCCTTTTATTTAGACTAAAAACCCCTTTCATTCGGGTGAGGAAACTGGCGTTTTGAGTGGACATCTTGTAATGCCGGTTACTATCTGCCACTGCAATAAACGCATTTTGCAGTATTAAGGATAACGATTAATCGATTCATTGATCGTTAATTTAAATGACGATCGATCATGGGAATGATCAAAAATTGACATCCCTAATATACACTCACATTCCGAGCTACACTGGCAGAACTTCTCACAGAAGTTTTGGGCAGTGACACAAGGGCAAGAACTGTCACACGGCTGGCGCGGGTGGTCACATGGCTGGTAATTGTACACATGATTGGAGGAGCCATCTGCAAGCAGAAATTTCACATATAATGAACATTTATACTTGTATTTTACTCAACTTTCACAATAGTGAAATATATTATCTAAAAGTACGAGCTAGAATCTAACTTGAAAGACACAAACCTTTCTTTAGTTGAATTTTCCGACAATGAGTGGCCCACAATCTAGAAGAACCCAAGAAAGCACAACAGGGTAATACGTGATTAAAATGCACCAATCATAATAGTTTGATGATTTTAAGTTTAATATGATTAGATCAATGAAAGTGACAAAAAAGTAAAGGTAGCCAGACTTATAAATATCACTTTTAACACACACCTGTGTTTCCTCTTCTTCTTCCTTTGAGGAGTGTTTTCATCCACCGCAGGTGCACGTGCAATGATGCTAGATTCTTTTACCCTGAATTCATAAACCTGCCAAAGCCCAAAACAAGAAAAACTCCTAAAACATGAATCCATTTCAGTGTTTGTTTTATTGCTGTTTGTGGCAACTTGCAATTACCAGATCCTCAAAAATAATTCCACAGTATTTATGCATAGTTGTCTAGCATTAAACTATTAACAAACACTGTAATATGTAATGTGATTGCACAAACCCATCTTCTCAGGTGTGTACCTGTCTGCAGGTCTTTGTGTCGATGAGTCTGGCGATAGCGCAGAAGTTGTCATAGTAAGTGCCGATGAGCACTCTGAAGAGAGAGGCCTCAGCGCCGCTCCAGTCCACATTCTCAGGAGGCTCAGAGCTCAACTTCAGCTTCACTGGAGTCTGACAGCGGGAGTTCGCCTCTACAAAAAAAAAAAAAAATTAATTATTATTAAATGAAAATAAAATCTAAAACAGCAGGAAAACTGAAACAAGCAAATACATTTTCATGACTCCAAAACACTAATAAACTATAAATTGTGACATTACTATATTACTTTTTTATTAATATGATTTTCATGGTTGACAGCACCCAATCAAATATTACACTTAGGACTGTCACGATTATTAAATTTGGCTGACGATTAATTGTCTAAAAAATAGTCACGGTTATTTAATATATAATTGTGATTAAATTAAGGGTTCATTAAATAATTATCATGTCATCTTTTAATCTTTTTTGAGTTATTATTTTGCAGTGTAAGATTAAATAGAGTACTCCAGATTCTAAGAATTGGCCAATACCGATTCAACACCAGCACTATTTTTTTTTCTACAGCACTACAGAATATCAATACTGTGTTTGTGGAACTAAGGGTCACTCTTTTTTAAACCCTTTGTTAAACACAATCCACTAAATACTCACTTCCTCATTACAGAGAAACACTACATTTGAATAAAAATATATAAGCTGACTGTATAATTTAGCAGCAAAAACAAAATCTTGGAAAAAAATATTTGGTGCACATAATACAATTTAAACATGTTTATTCTGTTAACTATTTGTATTCCTAAAAAAAAAAAAAAAAATTAATGAAAAAGAAGATAGAAATCATGAGAAAAATAAAAGCTTCTAATAATCTTTCTGTGTGCAAAACTTTGATAATGTGAAATGCTTCAAACAGAGCAACACAAAGCTCTTACGCACATCCAGGGTGCAGAATGGTGCACTTGAAGCAACATAAGTTACAGCGCGCTGCACTCCACGCGGTACAAACAAAGAGAAGAGAAATGAGAGAGCAATGAACTCCAGCAAAATGTCATTTTATGCGAATCCCCAGACTTTTATCTACACATCAAGTATTATAATGGGAATATATCATCTTGGAGAGAGTTTTACCATCCTGACTGACATAACTGAACGTGACATGCTGTTTGAATGCTGAGCGGAGAATGACTGACAGCTGCAGCAGAAGTTTTAACAATGTAAATACAATTCTGTTCCTCACATTAAGATATGGAATGGCTTCAGATGATATAAGCTATACAGACCACCTGTAGAAACACACTCTTCTCTATGCGCACTAGACATTTTTCACACACACTGCTTTGTGTACATAATCCCACAAAAGACTCCGTAATGTGTGTTTACATGCTCATGCACTACAAATCATCTTGCACTGTTCCCCAGCCAGCTGCTTGACTTAACGATGTTTCTCTTTGCACATGTACAGTATTATGTGAAGCATCCGCATAGTTTGTATTTTTTAAATTTATGTATAGGTAAACATTTATACATAGTATATTCATAGTCAAAATCTGTCAGTAGGTTAGTTGTGTATAGGTCTTACTGTTTTACTTTATTGTTGTATGCCTGTATTTATGTAGCACTGTGGTCCTGTGAGGCACGACATTTCGTTCCACTGTATGTCCCCACATGTTGCAGAATGACACTAAAGCTCAACTTGAACTACAGTGCATGAAAAGCAAACTGTTGATCTTCTGTTTCTTTTGGTTTATGACTCCCCCTTGTGCCGTATAAAAAGCACAATAATCTTTTATCGGTTAGATAACATAATCGCGAGTATACGGTCATTTAATTATCGCGACAGGCCTAATTTCACTGATATGATATATTTTTTATAGACCCTCAATCTCACCTGAGGAGCTGGTGGTCTCATCCTTTTTGTCATCATAATCTTTATCGTTGCAGTCTGTTCCATCTGCCCCTCCCTCTTGGTCACTGTCTGTGTCTTTAGTCTCATTGTTAACTGTTGGGGTGCTGGGTCTGCTGTTGCTGTTCGGGAGTCTTCCTCTGCGTCTGCCCACTATGCGCTTAGAAGGGGTCTTGGCACGCTCAGCAACCACACCTGCTGGGTATTCCCTAACCATGCCATCCTGAAGAGATACGTATGCCAGGGTTAATCAGAGTGAAAGTCAGAATTAAGCAGCACTTCAAATGTGTAAAACCTGTGATGCAAACACTTTCACACAGAAATCATAACTGCACTTGCAGTTTTGTGCCATCTTAAACCACACAAACATATCAAGCCTTCAGGATTAACAATAGCTTTCATTTTAGAAGGAGTGGAGAAATGCACTTGCCTGAACCATATACATGTAACAATAAATGCCACATGGTTTGCTGTCCACCAGATTCTCCATATTTTTACGCTTGTATGTGTTTGGAGTTGCATGGAAAGCTGTTAATCAAAAGAGGAATGGATTTATAGAAATGCAATCTTAAATGGTTGGATATTATTGTTAAAGGACAGCATTTTGAGGAATAATTGCTTACGGTGAAGAAAACAGTCGTATTTGAAGCAACGCCTGCAGAAGAGTGTATGGAAGGAGTGCAGACTCTGCTCTCTTTGCACTGATTTAGCATTTGGCCCATCGATGTTGGGGGTGCATTCAGGAGGAAGAGCCCCTGGAAGCTGCTGCTCAGTGAGTTCTTTATATCTGTAAAAAGACAACATTTCTCAAAACATGATCACCACTAGGGCTGTGTATCACCAGCAAAGTCACGATACGATACGTATCACACGATACAGAGGCCACGATACGATACGATACGTATCACGATACAGGACTGCACTGAATTTCACCTCAGAAGAATTTAGTAAAACGGCTGTTTATTAAACACGGCATACTATAGTGCCATTTCTAACTATTGGCAGAGCAGACAGTTGACCTCTGCAATATGAAGGGCCTCCATAACTGTACCACAGTACAATATAGGTAATGGCATATGTTTCATGTTTACATTGGACACTCCCCACCAGGTACAATATTCAGATTTTTTTGCATCTTGTTTTTAAGCCCATAAATAATAATGTACTCCTTCTAATACATTTATATTGTAATGTACACATTCTAATATATTTTTTAAAAATCATATTTACATTGCTGGTAGGTTATCATTGCACAAATTAGCACACTCTCTACGTATTAAAAAAGTTCTAAACTAATGCGCTGTCTTCTGTATCTAACGCACACACACGCCGGCTCAGTCACTCACACAGATCACGTTGCGGCCGCACTCAGACATTCAGGAACAAACGTTTTAGCGCTGCCCCGCAATTTTATCAACCAAGTAGCTTAATCGCTCGAGAGCTACATTCCCTTTCTCAACAAGGAGCTGGTAACATCGTTGTTTCTAAAGGAATTAAAGCCACAGCTTCACTGTTAATAGAGAAACGCGGCAAAACGGTGGTAATTCATACATACACAGCCCCTCTCTCTCTCTCTCATAAATGAACACTTGATGAATTACTTTTATGAGAATAGAATATTGAAGTGGAGATCACTAAACTGCAAGCTAAAACCGGTGTTTTCAGAAAGCAAGCGCGTTTATCCCGAGCGAGAACGCTCCGGTTACTATCGTAACCTCGGTTCCCTGAGAGCGGGAACGAGACATCACGGAGATATTTCTCCGTTATGGGAACTCCTTCCCTTCCAACCTTTCCTGAAGTCCTATTGGCTCCCGCCAGTCCAAATGTATCGTAACCTCGGTTCCCTGAGAGCGGGAACGAGACATCACGGAGATATTTCTCCGTTATGGGAACTCCTTCCCTTCCAACCTTTCCTGAAGTCCTATTGGCCCCCGCCAGTCCAAATGACTGGCCAATTGACGCGAAGTATGCAAACCGCATGCAAATACTGACGAGCTCAAGCGGCAGTATAAAATGCGGTGCACGCAACAATTACGTCAGAATCTGATACTGAACGCAGCTTTAGCTGATCAAGTAGCGACCACGGCGACCACCGTGATGTCTCGTTCCCGCTCCCAGGGAACCGAGGTTACGATAGTAACCGGAGCGTTCCCTCTCGCGCTTTCCCGAGACATTTGGTACGTTGTGCCCTCGAAAGCAAACCTCAGAAAGCGTCTGTGATGCGGTGCTATCTGAATGTGAAAGTACGCGTCCTTTAAATCCACGGACGCAAACCAGTCCCCGGGGCGAATTTGCGCCAGGATCTGTTTCAGCGTTATCATCCTGAACGGACGCTTGCAAAGCGCTCTGTTGATGGGCCTGAGATCTAGAATCGGGCGGAGTCCCCCGTCTCTTTTGGGTACCACGAAATAGCGGCTGTAAAACCCGCTCTCCAGCTCGCTGGGAGGGACTCGTTCTATCGCTCCTTTTTCGAGCAGACTGCATACCTCTTGTCTCAGAACCAGGGCGTGTCTGCGTCTGAATTGAAGGGTATACCCACGCTCTTTCACACCGAGTAGCCAGCGCGAGATTCCCAGAATAACTTCCCACGCGCTCAGGAACTGACATAGCGGCTTGGTCGTTGGATGCGCCGGCGAGAGTGTGGGCGGTGGCTCTGCACTGCTCTGAGGCGGGGCGAGCGGCACCGCATTGACTGAGTGAGGAGGAAATAGCTCTTTTTGTGAGAATGTATGCATTTTTATTGAATGAACATTCAACACACAACCATTTGAAACCATGAACTTGTGGCGCTTGGGAGCCGGGCCGCTCACGCACTCTCCTCCTCTCTTCAGACCGTCAGGACGACGGCTTAGCCGGCGGCGGCGGGCGAGAGTCACGTCGCGGGCTCCTCCGCTGGCTTGGCGTTTCCTCCCAGGACCCCACGCCTTCCTGCGGATATCCGGCTCCTGGCGAGGAGCAGTAACGTTAGCGGTCACCGCTGTGGCCGCTGGCCTGGGGTTATCCCTCCGCTGGGAAGAGCCAGGTGCCGACGAGGATCTGGATCTCGCCGTCTGCTGCTGGAAAGCGCGCCTCGGCATCACGTGACTCATGGCTTTGGCGCGCTTTTGAGCCTCCGCGAAGCGCTCAGTAATGGACTCCACGGCGTTACCAAAAAGGCCGGAGGGAGTCACAGGAGCATTCAGCAGCACTCTACGGTCAACATCCTTGAGGTCAGCTAGGTTCAACCAAAGGTGCCTCTGAAGGACGACCATAAAACCCATGGCCTTACCCACAGCCTGAGCCGCTCGCTTCGTCGCCCATCAGCGCAAAGTCCGTCGCCGCGCGCAGATCCTTAACGGCATCTGCCGTGAGGGCTCCGCTGCCCGCTGGCGGCTCGCCTGACAAACCTGCAA